ATCTCCTTCAGTTCTGCTCTGATCTTAGTTATTTCTTGTCTTCTGCTAGCTTTTGAGTTTTTTGATCTTGCTCCTCTAGCTCTTTCAGTTTTGATGATAGGGTGTTGATTTTAGATCTTTCCTTGCTTCTCATATGGGCATTTATTGCTATAAATTTTCCTCTGGACACTGCTTTAAATGTGTCCCAGAGATTCTGGTATATTGTGTCTTTGTTCTCCTTGGTTTTGAAAAACATCTTTATTTCTGCCTTCATTTCATTGTTTATCCAGTCAACATTCAAGAGCCAGTTGTTCAGTTTCCATGAAGTTATGTAGTTCTGAGTTAGTTTCTGAATTCTGAGTTCTAATTTGATTGCACTGTGGTCTGAGAGACTGTCTGTTATGATTTCTGTTCTTTTGCATTTGCTGAGGAGTGATTTACTTCCAATTACGTGGTCAGTTTTAGAGTAGGTGTGATGTGGTGCTGAGAAGAATGTATATTCTGTGGATTTGGGGTGGAGAGTTCTGTAAATGTCTATTAGGTTTGCTTAGTCCAGTTCTGAGTTCAAGTCCTGGATATGCTTGTTAATTTTCTGTCTCATTGATCTGTCTAATATTGACTGGATTGTTAAAGTCTCCCACTATTATCATGTGGGAGTCTAAGTCTCTTTGTAAGTCATTAAGGGCTTGCTTTATGTATCTGGGTGCTCCTGTATTGGGTGCGTATATATTTAGGATCATTAGCTCTTCTTGTTGCATTGATCCTTTTACCGTTATGTAATTCCCTTCTTTGTCTCTTTTGATCTTTGTTGGTTTAAAGTTCATTTTATCAGAGACTAGGATTGCAACTCCTGCTTTTTTTTGCTCTCCATTTGCTTGGTAGATCTTCCTCCATCCTTTTATTTTGAGCCTATGTGTGTCCTTGCATGTGAGATGGGTTTCCTGGATACAGGAGATGGATGGGTTTTGAGTTTTTATACAATTTGCCAGTCTGTGTTTTTTGATTGGGGCATTTAGCTCATTTACATTTAAAGTTAATATTGTTATGTGTTGATTTGATCCTGCCATTTTGATGCTAGCTGGTTGTTTTGCCCATTAGTTGATGCAGTTTCTTCATTGTGTCAATGCTCTTTACCATTTGGTATGTTTTTGGAGTGACTGGTACTGGTTTCCCTTTCTATGTTTAGTGCTGCTTTTAGGAGCTCTTGTAAAGCAGGCCTGGTGGTGATGAAATCTCTGAAAAATTGCTTGTTCACAAAGGGTTTTATTTCTCCTTCACTTATGAAGCTTAGTTTGGCTGGATATGAAATTCTAGGTTGAAAGTTCTTTTCTTTAAGGATGTTGAATATTGGCCCCCACTCTCCTGGCTTGTAGGGTTCCTGAGGAGAAATCCACTGTGAGGTCTGATGGGCTTCCCTTTGTGGCTAACCCAACCTTTCTCTCTGGCTGCCCTTAGCATTTTTCCCTTCATTTCAACCATGGTGAATCTGACGATTATGTGCATTGGGGTTGCTCTTTTTGAGGAATATCTTTGTGGTATTCTCTGTATTTCCTGGACTTTAATGTTGGTCTGCCTTGCTAGGTTGGGGAAGTGCTCCTGGATGATATCCTGAAGATTGTTTCCCAGCTTGGATTCATTTGTTCTGTCACATTCAGGTACACCTATCAAACATAGATTGGGTCTTTTCGCGTAATCCCATATTTCTTGGAGGCTTTGTTCATTTCTTTTTACTCTTTTTTCTTTAATTTTGCCTTCCCATTTTATTTCATTGAGTTGATCTTCAATCTCTGATATCCTTTATTCTGCTTGGTTGATTCAGCTATTGAAACTTGTGTATGCTTTGCAAAGTTCTCATCTTGTGTTTTTCAGCTCCATCAATTCATTTGTATTCCTCTCTAAGCTGTTAATTCTTGTCAGCATTTCGTCAAACCTTTTTTCAAGGTTCTTAGTTTCTTTGCATTGGGTTAGAATATGATCTTTTTAGCTCAGAGAAGTTTTCTATTACCCACCTTCTGAAGCCTGTTTCTGTCAATGCATCAGACTCATTCTCCATCCAGCCTTGTTCCCTTGCTGGTGAGGAGTTATGGTCCCTTGGAGGAGGAGAGGCATTCTGGTTTTGAGTATTTTCATCTTTTTTGCACTGATTTCTTTCCATCTTTGTGGATTTATCTACCTGTGGTCTTTGTGGTTGGTGACTTTCAAATGGGGTCTCTGAGTGGACACCTTTTTGTTACTGATGAAGTTATTTCTTTCTGTTTCTTAGTTTTCCTTCTAACAGTCAGGGCCCCCTGCTTTAGGACTGCTGGAGGTCCACTCCAGACCCTGCTTGCCTGGGGCTCACCTGCAGCAGCTGCAGAACAGTAAGGGCTGCTGCCAGTTTCTTCTTCTTTTATCTTTGTCCCGGAAGGATACCCACCAGATGTCAGCCTGAGCTCTCCTTTATGAGGTGTCTCTTTAGTTACATAGGGGTCAGGGAGCTGTTTGGGGAGACAGTCTGTCCCTTATAGAAGCTCAAGTGCTGATGGTGAGCTCCATTGTTCTGTTCAGAGCTGCTGGGCAGGTACATTTAAGTCTGCTGCAGCAAAACTCATAACCACCTTTATTTCCCAGGTGCTCTGTCCCAGTTAGGTGGGGCTTTATTTATAAGTTCCTGACATGCTCCTGCCTTTTTAAAGAGATGCCCTGCCCAGCAAGGAGGTAGCCTAGTCACAGTCTGCCAGCAAAGGCGTTGCTGAGCTGCCATGGGCTCTGCCCAGCTACTGTGTGAACTTCCTTGCCATTTGGTTTATAGGGGTATTGTTAGAACTGCCTCAGTAATGGCAGTCTGCCTCTGTAATGATGGACTGTCTCAGTAATGGCAGTCTGTCTCTGTAATGGTGGACTGCCTCAATAGTGGAGGACTGCCTCAGTAATGGCGGGCTGCCTTGGTAGCGGTGGACAACTTTGGTAATGGTGGATGCCCTTCCCCCAACAGAGCTGGACTGTCCCAGGTCCAGCTGTGCTTGCTGTGAAACTTTCAATCCAGAGCATTTTCAACTGCTGATATTCATGTGGGTGGGACCTGCTGAGCCAGATCACCTGGCTCCCTGTTTCAGCCCCCTTTTTTTCAGTTGAACGGGCGACTCTGCCTCCCAGGCGTTCCAGTCACCAGTTGAAATGGTGCCCAGATTTGTGTGAGTTTCTGTGTGGAGACCCGTGGCACCAGCTGAAACAGCTGCACTGGGGACTCGTGGTGCTTTTCTGCCTGGGAATCTCCTGGTCTGTGGGTAGTAAAAATTCATTTGGAAATGCGGTGATTACTTACCCTCTGCATTTTTGCTGGGAACTGCAATCCAGAGCTGTTCCTATTTGGACATCTTCTGTTTTCTGCAGTCTTGTTAAAAGGCTGTGGTGAGTTCCGCTGTGTGCATGGCTGTGTTCAGCCCCTGGGTCTTCAGGCTCGGACACAGGGAAGCCAGGGGGATGTTTTCCTGACACTGTCAGAAATGCTCTGTTCCCCATGCCCTTCTAGCAGCTGCTCTGAGAGCCCTGATGGAAGCAGTTAGAACCTCAACTGCGACTCTGCTGTCTACCCAGTCAGAGCCACTGGCTTGGACCCAGCGGAGGAGACACTGGCTGTGACCCACGCTTGACAGAGAGAGAGAGAGATGGTGTGAGAGGGGAGGGAGCCCTCTGCACCTCTCCCTTACTGTTCAGGGTGCTGCGTGCTCAGTTGAACCTTGGTACAAAGTGGAAAGAAACTGGTCCCCTTTGCTTTTTGCCCTTTCAGTGGCGTTTCCCCAAAAGCCACCAGGGGGCAGAAGAAGCCTCCTTCCCTTTTCCTTTTTTTTTTTGTTTAAGTTATATTACATATAAAGGTAAACCCTTCTTTTGATCCATTGGGCCAATGTTTTTGCTATAAAACATTTTGACATAATTATATTTATATCAAATAAATATACAAATTCTCTTTCCCATTTCCCACATTGTTGTTCTGATTTGTTTTCCCAGATTTGGGTTGTCTTCGAATGAATTCTTCTGCAGCTACAGCAATGGTGAGCAGAGGTCTTCATTTAAGCAGGAGTTTCTGCCAGTCATGATCTAGTTACGGGATCCTGTGTCAGATGCATCCCAGTCTCCCAAGCTGTTCTCTGTCTTTCCAGCCTCACTGGCCAGGGGCAGCCCTAGGTGTGTTTTATTTGGATTATTGCAGCAGCCTTTCAACCAGTGGCCACCCCAGCCCCATTACACAGATGCTGCCAGGTTCACCTACTCAATAGGGCGGCCAGAAGATCTGTCTCTTCCCGCCCAATCTCAGCCAGCCCCTCACTGCCTGCCTATTGAAGTCTAAACTGGCCCATACACCTGGCGTGCCCGGACTTTCCTTCCAGCGCTTCCCTTTATCCTCCTTCCACACACTGCAGTCTCAGCTCTTTCTTTCCTGTTTCTTGATCTTCACCAGGTCTGTTTCCTCCTCAGCCCTACTCCCTCCCCTTCAAGTGCCACAGCTTCCAATCTTCTGGGTCCCCTTCAGATGTCACCTCCTAATTAGCACCTGTGTATAAAAGCATCCTGGCCAGGCACGGTGGCTTGTGCCTGTAATCCCAGTACTTTGGAAGGCCTAGGTGGGTGGATCACCTGAGGTTGGGAGTTTGAGAGCAGCCTGACCAACATGGAGAAACCCTGTCCCTACTAAAAATACAAAATTAGCTGGGCATGGTGGCGGGTGCCTGTAATCCCAGCTACTCGGAAGGCTGAGGCAGGGGAATCGCTTGAACCTAGGAGGCGGAGTTTGCCGTGAACAGAGATCACGCCATTGCATCCCAGCCTGCGTAACAAGCGAAACTCCACAGATACATATATGTATGTATGTATGTATGTATATATATGTATGTATGTATATATGTATGTATATATGTATATGTATGTATGTGTGTATGTATGTATGTATGTATATGTATGTATATGTATGTATATGTATGTATATGTATGTGTGTATGTATGTATATGTATGTATCTATGTATATGTATGTATGTATATGTATGTATATATGTATGTATATGTATGTCTGTATGTATATGTATGTATATGTATGTATGTGTGTGTATATGTATGTATGTATGTATATATGTGTGTATGTATGTATGTGTATGTATGTATGTATATGTATGATCAGCATCCCTTCCTAATGTTGCATTTCTTTCATAAGGTTCTAGAAGACCAATCATGCAACTGGGGGTCACAGGAATGGTGGGTGTTGGTCTCAGTCAAGGGAGCTAAAGAAAGGCTGGACTCATTAGAGAAAGCTCCTAGAGAAAACACCCATGTGCTGTGCAGAGGCTGAATCCCAGCATCCAGGCCCCCAAGCAGGGCTTGCTCCTAGAGCTGCTTGGGACTCCCTGGAAATATCTAGGAAGCTTTCCCAAGGAGCGAGTCCAAAGTGGACCATATTGAGTTTTGCAGGCTCCGAACACATTACGAACAACAGAAACACTCATGCAGAAGAGTGGTAAACGTGAGGTATAGAAGTGAGTTTCGCTTTGTAACCCTAGGAAAGTGCCAGTCTATCTGCTTTTGAATGTGCAGCTACTAAAGATAATCTCTAAGAAATGCTCCCTTTGTTCTGCCTGCTCTTTTGTTCCCTGGAAACAGACAGGTGGGAGTGAGAGGAATAGGTGCTTGGGGAGCGTTCCCAGAGATGAAGGCGGTGCTGGCGTGGACGTCTGAGCCAAGGCAGGCACCTTCATGGTCACCTGCTGCCAAATGAACAGCAAGAGACAGGAGCAAATAAAGGAGCTCGTGCACAGCGGGGGCTGACGTGCCTCCCAGCAGGAGACGCACATACGAGGGAAATTGTCTTGGGACACTTGGCGGTTGCTAGAATAGCTGCTTTGCATAATGAATTCCTGGCCTAATGGGTATGTAGATCCCAGCACTTGGGGCAAGACTGTTTTTGGTTTAGCTCACACACCAGAAAATAGAATGTGCCAATATGAATTGAAAATTCTTAAAAGGGATCAGTGTAATCCCTATTTAATTTGGACTTTTCCTCTTAAATTCATTTTGCAAATGGTAAGACATTCTAGTAACGGACACAAAGGCATTTTTATACATGCGGAACACACTTCACCCTGGGAATAGTCCACTTGCCCCTAATTGAGATCATAAAGGAGGGGGAAGCCTTGCAAAGAAACCTCTGCAAATGCAGAAGAGAGCTCTCGATGCCGTCCCAGTGGCAAGTGAAACAGAAGTTCACCTTCCCTCAGGGTTTCACGTGGCCGCAGAGCCTTGAAATTGTTCAGGAGGGTGGAGTGAGGCCGAAGGTCATTAGAAAGATATTGCTGCTATTTTGATTTACTTGCTCTTAATTTCTGTTAACTCTTCCTAAATTTTATGAGACTGATGCTTTTCCTTGAAGCTGGTAAAGGATTTAAGCACGGGCCCAAACATATGAGGTGTGCTGTTCCTCTCACTTGAACTGGGACCTGCATATGGAGATGAGCAAACGATGACATTTGCAGAGAATCAGCACATCACCCGATGGCAGAACACGCCCATTCCAATGGGCTGGCAAGGAGGGGTGGTGCCAGGGTGTGCTGTGGGCACACAGACCTAACACTAACCCCACACATCTTGGACCACCGATTGATCGCTCTCGTAGAGGCCTGGGGCTCTCAACCTGCTTGCTCTTTGAAAGCTCTGTGCAAAACCGAAGTCACACATATATGCTCCAGGCATTCACTCCGTAGCTGACACCTTCATCCAACAACTATTTGAGCACCTACCCTATGCCATTATACTTGCTGCTGAGGTTGGTGTGGTTTGGCTCTGTGTCCTCATGTTGAATTGTAACCCCCACTTGTCAGGGAGGGACCTGGTGGGAAGTGATTAGATCATGGGAACAGGTTCCTCCCTGTTGTTTTCGTGATACTTAGTGAATTCTCATGATATCTGATGGTTTAAAAGTAAAGCACTTCCCCTTTAAGTGCCCTCTCTCCTGCTCCATCGTGGCAAGACATGCTTGCTTCCCCTTCTGCCATGACTGTAAGTTTCCTGAGGCCTCCCAGCCAAGCTTCCTGTTAAGATGCGGAACTGTGAGTCAATTAAACCTCTTTTCTTCATAAATTATCCAATCTCAGTTAGTTCTTTATAGCAAGGTGAGAATAGACTAATACAGAGGTAAGACAGATTGGAATTGCATTCTAGGGAGAAAGGGAATTTGCAAGTAAAAGAATACATTAAAAAGGACATTGGATTGTTCTTAATGGTACAAAAGCGCACTTTGGACAGGGTGGTCAGGGAAGGGCTTTTTGAAGCGGTGCCAATTAATGTGTGTTGTTGGAATGAAACTGTGAAAACATGAACACGTAGCATGACTGGGAATTCAGAGGGGGAAAAGTCATGTTCTTTGCTCTTCAGGAGTTCAGAGTCTCAGAGGATAAAGTCAAAACCATGAGCTGGAATGAGAAGGGATCTAAGAGTACAGATGAAATATCTGGCTGTTCTTAGGAAGAAGGGCTGGTCTCTAACTGAAGGCAAAGAGGTCTCCTGAGACAGCTGATCTTTGACCTCAAGTTGATTTTAGGAAAGAAAGCGGGTGAGAGTGTTCCGGGCAGAGGAATACAGCCCTGGGCAGAGATAGGAACACAGGGCATGTATAGGGAACAGCTCGAGGCTTAATTTGGCTGAAATATAGAGAACTTGAAGGAAAGTCATGGGTGCTGCGGCTGAACTGGCCAAGGGGGGCATCTTGCCGAGGGTTGCTTGCGTGGCTGGCGTGCCATTGTCTGCAAACAGCTTTCTGTCTGGCAGTCGCAGACATAACTTTAAATGCTGGTGGCAAGTTGCTGTGGCTGATTGAGGGTCTGCGGAATCTCCCCCATTTCCCTGCACAGGGGAGAGGAAGCTACATACTCACCTCCCGGGACAGAAGTGGAGCCCACTGGAAATGCAGTTGACCAGCCCATATGATTTTTCACCACCAGTGAAGTTGGTCTGCTGCTTTCCCCAGAGGTGTAGGGTGGAAGGTGCACAAATCCTAGGCCTTTCCCATAGGGATAATTCAGTCTGAGGGGCGGAAAGGCAGAGGCTCCCACCAGAACAAGCCTCAGGGCAGGTGCCATGAATACAGCCCCGTGGACCCTGAGGGGTTGGCTGAGGAGACCAGAGTGGCTGGTCAATCAAGAAATCGCAGTCAAACAAATCAGTGAGGAAAGCATTTAAAATGTGTTGCTGGTTAAATACAGTGGCTAATCCCAGCACTCTGGGACACTGGGGCTGGAGGATCACTTGAGCTCAGGAGTTTGAGACCAGCCTGGGTTAACAGCAAGACCTCGCCTCTACTACAAATAAAAACAATTTGAAAAACCAGCTGGGTGTGGTAGTGCCTGCACCTGTAGTCAGCTACTCAGGAGGTGGAAGCAGGAGGATTGCTTGAACTTGGGAGATGGAGGCTGCAGTGAGCTATGATTGCACCACTGCATTCAACCTGCATGCAGAGCAAAACCTTACACACACACACACACACACACACACACACACGTTGAGACCCCTATTTCCCTATTTTTTCTAGAGTATTTTTAACATGCTACCTCCACGGTTGTGTGGGTTTCATAAGCTGGCCTTCCAAGTCCTCTGAACAAGCTGCCTCTTTGTGCCATGTGGATTTAACTGAGGGTGTCACTGGATTCTTCATACACCATATTCTCCTTTCTGGAATGCTGCCTCCTGGATTGCAAGTACAAAATCACAAAGTGAATGTGATGCAAATGCAGGAAAGACATGTCTTTGTAACAGACCTTCACAGGAGATTTGCTAACGTAAAAAGAACAAGCAGAATAATGAGGTCCCCAGAGTGACTGATGGGGGTGCGACAAGCACCCTCACTTTCTAGTGGATCCAGGTAGTGGCTGTCAAGACCCTTTGTGCTCCAGGATTTCTGCCACAATGAGGCCTCTCCTCAAAAGTCCGTTTGGTTCTCAGAACCTCTCTCAGTGAGGACAGCGCCGGGCATCACCTGCTCTTAGTCCTGATTGTGAGCCATTCACTGGCTTTGTGCCCTTAAAAAAGTCCCTACTCCTCAGTAGCCCAATCCCTAAAGAGGACACCAGAACACCCACCTTCCTGATTCTCTAGGATGCTACAGGTCGATGAGTGTGTACACATGGCACGGGAAAGAGCAGCATAACGAAGCGGGAATCACAGCGGAGAAAGCCACCTGGACTCAGCATCACGCCACCACACAGTTGCCAGCTTGGTTAAGAAGGAGGCAGTGGGCCGGAATCCCCCCCTCAAAAAACGTCCCACAGCCATCTTGGAAATTTGTCCCTACTCTTAAGGTCCTAGACAGGAATATTTGGGGGAAATCTTTGATTTTACCCACCTTTTACAAAGTAAACTAAAAAAAAAAAAATAGATAACATGTGCAGAAAAATGCACGCTTAGGTTTACAAGTATATGAGCTGGATGAATTTCTGCAAAGTGAAATTACCCAGTCCCACCCCCAGGCCAAGGTAGAGAACACGGCCAGCATCACACTCACTGCCCTTTGCAAAAGGCAGAGCTGTAGCGCCATAGTGAATCCGCATCTCTTTGAATTGTGTATAAATGGAACATACAGCCCATTATCTTTCATGTCGGGATCCCTTTACTCAACATTCCATTTGCAAGACTACCCATACCTTTGCTCACGCAGGACCTCATTCATTCTCATTGCTGTCTAATATTTCACTGTGTAACCGCCACAGTCTAACCATCCCACTAGTGGTGGGCATTCGGTCATCTCCAGAATGTTGGCTATTACCAATATGTCTTAAGTATTCTCTTATATATTTTTGATGCATATATGCGAGCATTTCTGTAGGATGTATACCTAGAAGTTTTTCTTTTTACAAAGCTTTATTCAAAGATATAGCACCTTCTTGACATACATCCAAGTAATTTTTTTCTTTTTATAAATGACAGATAAAATTGTATGTATTTGTCATGTGCAACATGATATTTTGATGTGTACATTGTTGCCTACTTATCTTTTTAAGAGACAAGGTATTGCTGTGTGGCCCAGGCTGGACTTGAACAGCTAGGCACTAAGGATCCTCCTGCCTCAGCATCCCAGGTAGCTGGGATTACAGGCATGCACCACCATGCCCGGCCCCACCGCTTTTGAAAACCTATGATCTCTGTAACGAAGATGCCCAGACACCTCACTGGTGAACAGCAGGACTTGCTAGAAATTCTCTTATAGTAATTTGCATCTGGAAAAATGGGAGAAATTACATTCACTAATTTTTATTATAAGCATTAGCCTTGACACCCACAGGCTGCAGGGCATCGGACCATCAAGCATACAATGTGGTATAAGATATCCGAGGCTCCCTCACCCGCAGGTTAAGTAGATTCATATTTTTTACTAGATAGACCCCCACAACATGACAAGTGGCTTTAAAGAGAGTTGTATACACACATGCGTGCGCGCACACACACATATACAGAGACTAAAAGGAATTCTAATGTTGCAAGCACAAGCAGGCAAGAAAACGACTGTGTCCCCTTCAGCCCCTGGCTCTTCAAACAACTGACAATTTATCTGGCAACAAGACCCACCGATTTCAAAATAATCAGTGCACCTTAACAACTGACCTCACTCTAAGTGCATACAGAGCCTTGATATTTATTGCCTGGTGGGAGTCGTACATGTATTTAACATGTAAATAACCACAAATACGCTGGCCGGGAAGCAGGCTCGTGCTTGTCTTAGGCCAGATTTCCCAGATACAGAACCAGACCTGGATTCTTGGACAAGCGATGGATTGAGGGTGTTCTTTCAGGAAAAGAGGAGTGTGGGAACGGGACCAGAGCAAGGGAAGGAACTAAGCAAGGCTGTGGCCTCAGCCTGACCCTGCAGGGAGCTCAGGAGCAGACATCGCACCCCAGAGGAATTGGAAGAAGCGGACCCTAAATACACGCTGGCTGTGAGCTGCTCCTGAGATGGCGGGGACGGGGTGCTCAGGTGTGCGTCATAACCTCCCAGGTGAGCCTAGGGCAGTGCTCCAGCAAAAGGGGCAGCTGCTGGCAGCCAACATTCACAGCAGCTGGGATCTGGGCAGGGCATAGCAGCGTCTGCTACCAGGCTCACCATTTACCAATGGGGCTCGTGTCCATAAAGTTCAGAGGCTGCTGATGCTAGACTCAGGGATGAGCACGACGGGTGTGCTTCCTGTGGTGAGATGCAGAAAACCCGGAAGCATTTGGCATGCCACAGAGCACCCCCACATTCCCCTCTCCCCCTGAGCACCCGGCATGGGCCCCCCACCCTCCTTGTCCAGGCTCAGCCGCCATCATCCACACTGTGGTCACACCCCGGGACTATGATGTGTCTGTTGTTACATGGAGTCTCCACAAGAGTTGCCTTTGATCGTAAGAGCTAGAAGGACATGTTGATGCCAGTAGGAAGGTGAGCCGGAAAGATTTAAAGGATGGCTTGAAGAAACGGGGAGGGAGGGGGGTGCGGGGGGGGGGTCGTTAAGCCAAGAATGAGGGCAAGGGTAAGAGAACTGACTTGGAGGTAAAAAGAACACACAAATGCACACCCCACAGAGAGGATGGGCTAGCCATGTGGAGCCAGTGTGGAGAGCAGGGAAGAAGAGACCTAGTTCTCATCCTGGCTCTGTCACCAAAGAGCCGTGGGGCTTGGACAAGCGTCCTACCCTCTCCAGACCCAGCACCAAGAAAAACGTAACACCCAATCCCTGGATAGGGCCTGAGCTGCCCATCCTCCCCAGGGAACCCCCGTCCTGCCGTGGCCCTGCCATCTGTCCTTACTGGGGTGCTGATTGCTTCCCTGGCTCTGCTGGCATCTCCTCAGAGGCCTCTGTCCATCCCATCTAAAGGAGCCACCCGACCATCGTCTTTCAACATGGCAATTAGAACATTGTGGAATTCTCGGCATGGGCTGCTGTCTTTGTTTCTTTAACTATCAGTCTGAGAAGAAGGACCCCGCTGGCTTGTCCGCTGCTCTGTTGCCTGGGCCCAGGAGCACATCAGGCTCTCAGCAAATACTTTCTAGAGGCTTCACCAGGCCTTGCCAGAGGGAAAAGGAAGATTAAAAAGAAGACGAGACTACGGAAAATTGTAAGTGATACATATAACTGGCATTAATAATATAGGCTTTCTTCACTAAGGCCACTGGGCGTTTTTCTTTGAGAATCTATACAGATATCCATTTTAGATCTTTTTTTCTTTCCTGTAGAAGTGTAGAAACATGATAGTCAAGACAATCAATTCATGTCTCAAACGATTTAAAAAACACACACACACAAATATTTGTTTCCTTTAAGTTGTGCCTTTGGTTCCCCTCTCCCCTGCCTTGTAAGAAGAAAACTGGAAAAGCCCCACTTGGGCCTTTCTCATGTGTAAGGTGACTTCTGTCTACTGCCTGGGCCTCTGCACCCGTTTGGGTGGGGCTGATACTGTGCAGTTACGAGGCCTCTCTGCTCCGTCTGTCCCCAAAAAGCGCCCATCCCTCCATTACGCCAGGCCAGCAGTCCCTACACACACAGCAAACAGCCTTCTCCGGATGCTCTCCCAGTCTTCACTCCAGCTCTCTGAATGTGTGCTGTGGTCTGAATGTGTCCCCCGAAATTCACGTGTTGGAAACTTCATCCCCAGAGCAACAATGCTGGAAGATGGGGTCTTCCGGGAGGTGTTTATGTTGTGGGGATTCCACCCTCACAAATAGATTATTATACAACAGCTTGATGGGAGGGGGTTGTGCCCACCCCCCCTCCTTTTTTGTCCTTTGGCCTTCTGCCATGTGAGGACACAGCATTCAAGGTGCCTTGATTTTGGACTTTCCAGCCACCAGAACCGTAAGAAAGAAGTGTCTGTTCCTGTAACTTACCCAGTTACAGCAACGCAAATGGTCTAAGACATGTGCTAATATCTTAAATGCATCATCGAGAGGCAGGGCCTTACTGGGCCAGTGGATAATCTAGTAAGTCACCAGTATCAGGACTCCCAGGACCTGGTGGAGAATAAGATGCCTTGTTAATGTTGTTCCAGCACCCCATTTCCTTAGGGAGTTTTGGGGCTCTGAGTGCCTTCCTACACAGATCCCACTGACATTAATGAGACATGTGACTGAAAGCACATGCTGTGTTTGGAAATGTATGAGCAGACTTACATATTGTCTCCAGGGAAAGGTGATCTTTTACTACCTCTTGGAGGAGGTCAAAGAGAATCAAAACCAAATGTGTCTGCATCGTATGCAAGCTCGTGTAGATATATTTTTTAAACCTACAACTTTGCAAATATTAATTATGTGTGATGGGTCAGAGGTAGTTGGTATAATTGAATATAAACTTATTGATGGCTCTGTTAAAGGTGGAAAGCCCAGGACTTGAATATTTTTTGTACATCATGTTCTTTCCTCTCTGCTATGGCTGAAAAACATTGGCTTTGTCACCAAATTCTATTCCGCAGGACAGCTGGTTCCGTATTCAGTTGGCAAGATGCTGTATGCACCTGAGGTGACATGCATTTTCAACTTCAAAAACATACTTCAAAATCTCTTATATTTCACCTTCATGGCTTATAATCGTGGCTTTACAGTCAGGAAATGTGCATGGTGTTTGTTTTTTTTTTCTTAACACAGTAAGGAGGGAGAGCTAGCTTACCTGCTAGCAGGAGGAGACTCCATTGATTCTCTAAGACGTGCTTCTGCCTGAAGCCCCCTTGTGACAAACAAATTTCATCTTGCCAGATGATGAGCTGAGAGTCCCCTGCCAGCTGTGGCCAGGGAGTAAAGTACCACTCATTAGCCCACCCGGGGGTCCAGCCTGTCGTTTTACCTGCCTTAGCTGTAAACTTTCAGCCAAAGTCAGGTAGTGCTTTTGGCTCTGCTGAGGGTGAAACAGTTGGCATCACACCTGCATGAGGTAGCTTAGTAAATATTCCTTTATTGTGGCAATGACCCCGTGATTTCTCTATTCATCTCCTTCAGCAGTGCCAGCTACACTCATGGGCCCAGCTGGGATTCTCCCCACCTAGTCCTCTCATCTCTGCTCCCAGCTGCACTCTCCTGTTGAGCCCCTTCATCACAACACAGTCCTCCCCGTCGGCACTTGCTCCTTCTCTCCCATTCTGTGTGTGACATTGATTCCCCTGGTCATCTGCATTGGCAGCTTCAGTGCTATCATTGACTCTTCTTGTGTCCAACATACAATCACCTGAAAATCAATGTCAGTTTCACCTCTGAAGCGTCCCCGGCATCTTTATCCTTAGGTTTCTTGACATTGCTCAGGTTCGCCTGCCCAGTCGCTCTCAGCTCAGTGATTGCAGTAAGCTCCTTACTGGCCTCTTTAGCTTCAGCCATTTCTCTCCAATCCAGCTGATACTTCGCTAAATAATAAGAAAAGGGTGTGCTTTCCTAACATAAGATAATGCTTTATTTGGCTTTTCATTGATTTCAGATATTTCATTGACTGAAGCAGCCTTTTACTGTAAACTAAACTCTAAACTTACATTTTAAACTTCACACCCATTAGGATGGCTGCTATTTAAAAAACCCCAGAAAATACAAATTGTTGGTAAGGATGTGGAGAAATTGGAGTCCTTGTGCACTATTGCTGGGAATGTAAAATAATGTGGCTGCGGTAAAAGGTTCACCTTGCGTGGTAACTCATACCTGCAGTCCCAGCACTTTGGGAGGCTGAGGTGGGTACATCACCTGAGGTCAGGAGTTCAAGACCAGCCTGGCCAACATGGTGAAACTCCATCTTTAAAAAAAAAAACAAAAAACAAAAACAGTATGGCAGTTCCTTAAAAAGTTAAAAATAGAAGTACCGTATGATACAATAACTCCACTTCTCAGTATAAACCCCAGAGAATTGAAAACTTGAAGAGACAATTCATACATCCATGCTTGTGGCAGCATTACTCGCAATAAGCAGGACGTGGGGATAGCACAGGTGCCCATGGATGATTCTTGGATAAGCAAAATGTGGCTTATACATACGACAGACTACGATTCAGCCTTAAGAAGGCGATTCTGATGCATGCTACGACATGGGTGAATCTTGAGGATGTTATGTTGAGTCACAAAGAGACAAACACTGTGTCATGCCACTTAGATGAGGTATCCAGAGCAATGAAGTTCATGGAGAAAGAAGGGTTGGCTGTAGACGACAGCTCCCCATGGGGGGCCCTCTCTCCCCGAATGGAGAATGGGGGTTGGCAGCAACTGGTAGGGGAAGAAACGGGGAGCTATTGTTTGGTGGCCATAGACTCTCAGTGTTACAAGATGAGAAAGTTCTGGACACTGGTTGCCTAGCAATGTGAATATACTTAACTCTACTGAACCATACACTTAAAAACGGTTAAGATGGTAAATTTTTTTGTTTTGTGTATTATTTTATCACAACCTAAAAATTTATTTATTTATTTTTATTTATGTATTTATTTTTGAGAGGGAGTCTTGCTCTGTCACCCAGGCTGGAGTGCAGGGGCATGATCTCTGCTCACTGTAACCTCTGCCTCCCAGGTTCAAGTAATTCTCCCACCTCACCCTCCCGAGTAGCTGGCATTACAGGTGCATGCCACCACACCCAGCTATTTTTTCTTTTTGTATTTTTAGTAGAGATGGGGTTTCTCCATGTTGGCCAGCTAATCTCAAACTACTGACGTCAAGTGATCCGCCTGCCTTGGCCTTCCAAAGTGCTGAGATTACAGGTGTGAGCTACTGTGCCTGGCCCTAAAAGTTTGTTTTTAAATGTAAATTAAGGTTACATTATGACATAGCAGCCTGGTTGTCTGTTGTACTGTTTAATGAAGATGAATTTCCGTATTTGACAAGAGGAGTTAACTTTGAAATGTAGAACTTGTAAAATAAAAAACAAATTCTAAAGGCAGAAATTCCATCTCTGTTCTAAGAAGGATGAATTAGGTTCTTTGCAGTAAATTTGTAACAATTGAAGGATTCTTTTGGGCAGAGCTTTCCAATGGAAACTTGTTCTGTTATTAGTGTGATCATGAGCCCTGTGGTCCAATGTCACCCAGCATGTTTAGCAAGGTGAGGTGGCCAAAACCTGGACTCTCTAGCCCCAGTCTCTCCAGGTGGTCCCCCATCTAAGCTCAGTCAGGCCCGACCCTGCTTAGCTTCTGGACCTAGGCACCCTCAGGCTTCTATGGCCCACAGGGGTTACCTGGATTCTTAAAAAGGTAACGTTCAAGCATGCATTTTTGTATTGGAGCACAAAGGGATTATGAGAGCAGTTAGTTACGAGAATCTGGACCATGCCTCTCTCCATTTATCAGGAGACTTTCCAGTCCCATTTCAAAGGGAGAGAAAGAATAATAAGAACCAGTGTCCAGACCGTTTTAATAAATACAAAGTCCCCAAAAAGGCCTACTGTTCCAGACCTTCCGGCTCCTGCCAAATCCTGTAAAAATAGAGATTAAACTGTACAGATATTTGTTTTGTCTTGATTGCTGTTATTTTGTTTCGGTAATAAAAGTCCCCAGGCATCTGGCCTGAGAGAGTGCTGATGGCTCTAACTTTTGACGCCAGCCCTCAGCAGCCCCTTTAAGGAATCACTTCTTCCTTGGCTGTATAACGCTCTCCTCTCCTTGAATCCCAGACTCCGCATTGCTCATGGGGCATGTGACACGTACTGTATTGTATTTGGCTGGTGCACAGCAGGGAGGCGATGGCACTTGGCTGTCTCATGGAAGTGCTGGGTTCTAGGGTCAGCAGTGCCCAGGGCTCAGATTCCTCATTGCTTTTTAAAATGTACTTTTAAACAATGTCAAGCTTTTGGACACACTGCAAGAATAGTAGAAAGAACCACTGCATACCTTTTGGGAAATTAAACATTGACATGTGGTGTTATCTACAGGACATCACATTTCATCAATTTTCCTAACAATGTCTTTCAACTTTTTTTTTTCCAGTCTAGGACTGTGCATTGAATGCATTTAGGTAGTATGGACCCATTTAATTTTGATCACCAATGAAGCAAATCAGCTCATCCCACTCTTTCCCACTTTTAAGTGGGAAAAAATGTTGATGATTACAAAGAATTGGAGAACATAATTAACTTATTATTAACAGCCTATATAAATCTATTGTTATT